CCTCGGTGACCTCCCAGTGGCCACATCCAAGGTCCACTGATTAATCCCTTCTTGAAACTCTTTTATCTTGGCTGACATCACACCTCTATATTCTATGTAGTCCCCCTCTAACCTTTGACTCCTCAACACCCTCTTTCTGCATCTGCTCCTTAAGAGAGTGCACTAGCATCCATCTCTCACCCAAAATGTTCCCCTGGCTTTTCTGTTCCCCCTGCCTATGGCTTTACTCTCTCAAAACCAATCTCCTATCAGAATAAACTTTCTGAAGTTCATGCTTGAACCAAGTCACTTTCCTAATTCAACCCATCCAATGGTTCCTCATCTCCCATGGCAGGTCCCAGTTGTCTTGGCATTCAAGGTCTCTCGTGGTCCAACTCCTGCCCTCATCTCTCATTAACACACACCTTGCACATTTAGCTTCAACTAATCAAGGAGCTCTTTCCAATACATACCCTGTGACTTTGCCTGGATTACCTCTTCCATTTACCTGCCTAGCAAAAATCCTTCTCAGCTTTCAGGGCCAGCTGAAGCATATTCTACTGTGTAAAGCCTCCCTCGAAGATCCCACACAGACTTGGTCAGTAACTCCCTTTACCATGTACATAACTCCCTAGCATCCATCATTAGCTCTAATAGGTGACAGTAAAATGTGGTTAACTTCTCAATCTTTCTCACAGAATGTCAACTTTGCCTCCAAACCATCTGGTATCCAAAGCACATAACATTCTCTATAATCAGTAGCATAGCAGCCAGCCTGCTGGTTCCCATCATACCTTGACGTTAACCTATCCAAGGACGTACTTAATATTCTAATCTTTATACTGCTTCTCTACCTGAAGCAAGATCATGGCATGGCATGAAAGCGAGGTCATGTCTACCGAGCCACAGCAGGGAAGTAAATGTGGTTTCCCAGCAACACTACAAAACTAGGCAGTAATGCAGAGAAGCCTGCCTGCCTTGCCAGCTGCAGAAAACAGTATGCAAACCTGTAACTCTGAGGTGTCTGGAAATCCCCACTGAGATGTGAATATGAAGACCTGGAAAGAGTCACACAGAAGTTTCTGAAAGGATAAAGGGGAAGGGGTTTCATGACACCCTGGACAACACAGAATGTGGCCACCTCACAGGAGCTCTGTGCATTCATCCTGAATATAACAGAACCCACCCTCCTTCTCCATTCATGTACAGAACCTGTGGGTGTAGGCTGTGTGTATAACAATTCAAGCAGCTAATATAATGAACCCATCTTTCCTCCTGCAACTGTGAAATGCCATTTAGTGCCAAAATATTTAAAATGAGGTGTGTGAATCATCACATGGTTTCTGGAATTTCTAATATGCCAAAGATACATACCAAATATAGTCTAAAAGACCATGCACTTAGGCTGAAGCATAAACACATTCCAATTTGGTATGTTAATGACCATTATTATGCATCAGTGGCTAAAAATACACATTAAAAGTTATTTGGCTTCATAAGCAGTACATTTCAATGATAGCAAATTACCCACAAACAACAGATGACCTCAATTATAAAAAATATATAATTAGAAAGTATATTTTATAAAGTGATTTGATGATGCTCATCCCCATGACTCTCAGGTAAGGTCCCACAAATTCCAAAATAGCATTATTCCCAATAACTTCCCTGGTTCACAACAGTAGCATTCGGGCTAGATAAAATGAGGGAATGAAAAAACAAAGAATGAGAAAGGATCTAGATTAAACAGAGATCGTGAATTATCTAATTGAATACAGAAACATGAGCAGAATCTTTAGGGACAATAAAGCTAAATCCATTTAAAATAGCAGTCTACTCCTTCTTAACCAAAGTTAAATTTTTGCTAGGGCAAACTTCTCATACAGAGCCCAAACACCTAACAGCATCTCTCAGCTCTGTCCAACCCCTAATCTAACTCAAGACAAATAAAAATCTCAAAGTTCCCTGTCCCAACATCTTTGCTCAAATATTTGCCTCCTTTCCTTTCTCAGTCTCTGCCTACTGAAATTCTATCCCATCTTTCCAGCATCTCTTCCATAAGTTTGTATTGATCCCCAAATCAGGTCATCTCCTCCTGTCTCATAGCATTATTTTTACTCTTTTCTGGCATTTATCTTATTCTAATTGGGCACCTGTCATATGTGGTAAGACACCTGAGGATAGGTTAAATTTTACTCATCTTCATTAGGTTGTGGTGGATCATGGCCAGGCCTGTCAAGCTTACCCTGATATGCCTTGAGCTGACTGTTCATCATTACCCAGCTCCAGCAGGCCTGCACATGTGTAAAGTCTTACTTATCCTTTCAGAACCGACAATAAAACAAGATGGAGCTGGTGGTGGAGTAAGGTATCATATTTAAAGCTTGCTTGTCAGATCCAGGAGACAGAGTTTGTGAAAGAAAGCTTTTACAATTATATGGAGTAACAATCTGTTGTTTAAGAGTGGCTTACAATGTAATTATAAGAGCTGGTGAGCCCAATGTAATTGTAGGAGCTGGTGAGCCCCTATGCAGGGCATCCTAGGAGGTGGCAGGACCTCATCTTAATACAGTATCTTCAGCCAAGCTCACCAGATATCCCTTGGCCTTTCAGCAAAAGGTACATCTCCCCATATCTTTAGCTAAAAATTTATTTTTTGCACTTATCACAATTTCTAAAACTGTAAGATGTATGTGTCAAAGTTTCCATATTTGCACCCTCCAGGCCACTCATCCACATGTAGTATAATTCTCCTAAGATGAACTCAAAAGTGCCTAAAATAAAAATTTAAATTTATTTTTTCCTCAAATAGGATAGTCCTCTGATAGCCTCAAAATTACTAATACCTTGCATGAGATGGTGTATGTTTAATACACAATTAATTTTCCATGAGCTATTGCTATATTCACTCATGTTATTGAAAAAAAGCCAGAGAACAATGCACAGCACTCATCAGTTTACTATGAGACTTCAATTTCTTTGGGAAAAAAAAAAACAGACCAAGCTCTCTGAATTTAAGTAATATTTGTCTCTTCCCTATTCTTTTTTAAATTTAATTTTGTTGTTGTTGTTGTAATCTTCCTACTCTTTAAAACAAAGATCATGGATGTTAAAAACTATTTTTGAAAGCTTCACGTAAATATACATATATATAATATATAATTTCATTAATCTGTTTATATAATACTATATATTATATATATTTTTATAATATACAAAAGGAAAAATCCAAATAAAATTCAAGAAAAAAAACTCAAGAATTTTGCAAGCAGATAAGAAAGTTTTTAGTTCCCACTTGTAAAATCAGATCCAAAAGGAAGCCATTACCCTAGGAAATATTTTAAACCTTAGAGCCAGTAGCTACAAGAGAACTTTTCAATTACATTAAAAAACTGAGATATATAGATATTGATATAAATAATAATGGGTTAATTTCTCCAATTAAAGAGTTCACTGCAGAAGACATAAACCATCTTGAATATGCAGGTAAATGTGGTATCAAATTGGTGGAGCTTAGTTCTTTCATAAATACTGAACTACTAAACATGACAACCCAATATCTAGAATAACAGGAAAACAATGAAGAAGCTTTTTGTCTGTTCTGCACAAAAACTTAAATGATGAAAAAGACAAAGTGGCTAAAAGTGGAGACTACCAGAGAAATAGAAATATAGAACAAGCTACACAGTGGAGTTGAGGGTGGGAAGCAGTTCTATCTAGAAAGAAAAGATTCAAGAATATATCTATTATAATAGATATATTATGAATATATATCTATTCATTCATTTGTATGTACATGGGGTCAAAGAAGAAATTGTTTCTCTAAACCCATAGTTGAGGAAGAAGAAAAAAACATTCAGGCTTCTAAACAAGCAGATTAATGAAATGTAAATTGTGGGTACACACATTCTCAAAAACAAAATAATAAAAGTGGCCATTAGAAGAAAAAAATATATATTTCATTAGAAACACTGATGCCAGAAGGGGAGTGACATGAGAAAAGTAGAGATATTAATAGAAAACAAAAACAAAAACCAGCAGTTCTGAAATATAGTTGGAGAAACAGCATCATACAAAACAAGAATAAAAAGAGAAAAATACGTTTTTTTATAAAAACACTTAAAAGATTGTATTTGAGTGCATAAAATGTCTGAAAAAGACACTAAACTGTAACCTTTAGTTATCTTAGGCAATGCACTCCTTTCTCTATTTAGTCTGCATGTATTTTAACCCAGATAATTATAATTCAACTTAACTAAAATGTTTTTGAAAAAAAGGATGACAACACAGAATGTTAAGTGCCATCCTATGTAAAGTGCAAAAATAGCCACTGGGTTGTGAAGTCTTCCTAGAGGAGGTGACAAAAGCTGAAAAATAGAGCATTTCAATATTAATCGTATTTCTTAACTCACTAATTTATAGTAAGGAAAGCAAGGACCAATGTGAGTACAAATTGACAGCTCTGTTTCCTGTCTTGACTTCCCCAACCTGGCTCAACAGGTTCCCTCCTTTGTATTCCAGGCTGTCCATGGCCCTTGTCTAGGCTGCCTTGAAAACAAGTTACCTGTGTAGGTAACTTTGCTCTGCCTACTCCAACTATTCTGTGAGCTTCTAAAGGAAAGAACCATGTTCAGATCCATCTCTGTGTCCCCAGCACTCAGAATTCTACCTGGCCCAGAGAAGCCCAATCAACATTGGTAGAATTATATTCAATTAAAAGGAAAGAAGGCATTTCAGTACATAAACACAAGTTTAATTAACCTCTGGGGCCCTATAAGGAAGAAATAACCAGAGTCCATTCTGTATATTTAAAAAGACGACACACCCGGTGACTAGTAGGAGCGCTGTAGGTGAGTCCCCAGGAGGCTCAAAAAAGGGCCAGTGGGCTGAAAGCGGGAGACTCAGTCCTTTTCTGCATGGATCGAGGGACAGTGCCCCGACACCCCCTGAGTCCAGGGTGACGCCAGCACAAGGGTGCAGGTCGGGAGAAGAGGGGCGGACAGGGTTCTCGGTCTACTCACGCCGGGGCAGCCGCCGGCTCTTCAGCTGGATCTCCGCTGGGAAAGGCGCCCACCCACTAGAGGCACTGTCCAGACCTGCCTCTCTGGAAAACCAGAGTTGAAAATTATCCGGATAGGACAAGGAACTGGAACGGAGCAACAAAGGTGGCCTCCCTGCCAAGCGTCCCGAAACTTGTTAGGGCTGAGCCCCAGTGCGGCTCCTCTGGGTACACGCCTCCCAATGGAGGCTGCACGTCTCTGTGCACAGTCAACTCTCCCTGGCACCCCGGGAAATTACCCGCGCAGGGTGGGAAATGAGTAGGCGCCGCTACTGCACCCCACCAAGCCCCTGAGAGTGAGCCGGGAAGTCCCAGTAACGATGATAACGAAAACGAAATTTAGTTTCAGCTTCCAGTAGGCCCCCTGCCACCACTAATAATAATAATAATAAATTTAAAACTCTGGCCACGACTACCCCTCCCAACGCCCCCTATTGCACAAGGCTCCCAAGGGGACAAGGGGCACCCAGTTCCTGCGTACTTGTCGGTGGATTCACCTAAGAAAGAGGGTGTAAGATAGGTGTAAAGGTAGTCAAAGGAAGTGCAAATGTCAGTTACAAACAGAATGTAAAACAGGAAGTCTTAGAAAAAGCCATTTTAATCAGGTCATCCAACCTAGAAGCTGTAAGTAAAACAAATGTTAATACAAGTGAAAACTTCTGTTTGGCAAATAGACGTTTTTGTTTTTGGACAGGTTTTTTGCTCCTTCCAATGAAACTTTTTTGGGGGGTGGGAGGTAAAATTAGTTCAGGGTCTCACCGGAGGTAAAATACCAATTCTGTTCCTCTTATCTCAAATCCCTTACCTAAAACAGATCGGGCCGGTCAGAGCCCGTTCTGACTTCTAACTATCCAGATGGGTCCGAGTCCAAAATGCTTGACGTATGCTATCACTCTCTTGGCACCACCTCTCGTTGGGTAAACACATTTCAAAGTTAAATAAAAATATTCGCGAGAGCTTCGACGTCCTCGAACTTACTTTCGAAAGGTCCCTTTGAACATACTTTCTGTTCCTTGAACCAAAAAATCAGTCTGAATGCCAGTGGCCTTTGTTCTGTTGCATTCCACTGTTAATATTTAAAAGAACAAGCCCTTCTGTCCAAACCCGGACACCATAGTCAAGCAAGAACATCTTGAACTCAAGTTTTTTTTTCTAAGGCTTTACATAAATTTTGTCATTCTGAACTTTCCCGAGACAAGCTTTCCTTGAAATTTGCCAAAATACTAGTAGCACCAGGCGTTGAGAAGCTTTACCAGGCTATTTAAAGAGCAAAAATTCCCGCCCGGCCCGCGGCTGCCGGAAGCGCTTGCACAAAGTACTTGCAGGAGGGGGGAGGAGGAAGTATTTCTCATCAATTGTCCTACAGGAAAACGGCCAAAACTTTAGTTTACCGCACATGTTGAGCAACTCAAAATGATCCTAAACAAAGTTTACTGGGCGCGGTCTGCCACCAAAGCTCGCGGCCTGTTTGCCGCCTCTGCGTCCAAGGGTTACTCGGTCCGTGGATCGTGCGCGCCGGACCGACCCTGTGATCCCGCAGCCGCTGGCCGCCCTCCAGAGACCCGGGGTGCGGGCAGAGCGGGGCGACCAGGGGGTGGGAGCAGGGGCGGGGGACTCCGCCCTGGCCAGTGCCCGCGGGCAAACCCGAGATGAGGCATCTGCGGGTCTGAGTCACCTGCCGGAAGGCGCCCCCTCTCCTGACCCCAGCCGGGAACCCCCCGCCCGGGCCAGGGCTGGAAAGCCCGAGGCTGGAGGGCGGCGGCGAGGGACCCGAGGCGGCACACCGGCCGCGGGGGACAGTGACACAGAAACCCGAAATTAGACCTCGGAGTCTGGGGAAGGTTGGAACCGCGGGGTCGAGAGGGGCTGCACGTACCCTGCTGTCCGCCGTGCGGCTTGCCCACCGCCGAGCTTCCTGGCTCCGCTTATCCGGACGCTTGAGAAACGCGGCAAAATGGAGGAAAGAAACTGAAAGACTGGAAGCGGACGTGGCGTTCCGCGGCTGTCCACTGCCAGAACCGGTTGCCAAGAGCCGGGCTTCTCCCTACTTAACCCTGCAAAACTTTGCCGGCCCGCATTCACTGAGTTAGGGCCCAGACCCCCACTCACCAGACCCTGCCGAGTGAGTCCCTGTCGGTGGGACGAGCTGTGGGCCAGGATGACACGCAAATTCCGAAACGTTCCTCATTTTTGTGGAGGGAGCCTGATATATGGTGACGGAAGGTGATTTGACTTTGGGTGGTGGGCACACAGGACAGTGTACACATCTTACAGAAACCCACACTTGAAACCTATATGATCATATTAACCAATGTCATCCGAATAAATTTAATTAAAAAAAAAAAAAGCAAAACAAAACAAAAAACAGAACTATCTCTGGGCGACAGCCAACCCTATTTCCTGTTTATAACCTTTCTGACAAAATATGCTGTGAACCCAGGGTTGTTTTCAAAAATACTTGTAGTTGTCATTACCAGCAAGCACTGCTAGTGCTTTTTACTGGTGTATGGGAATAATAATATAGAGTAAATGTGAAAGCACATTATGTTTTAATCTATTTATTACTAATAACTACTTTGTGGTTTTCTTACATTTAACTTCTCTTGAAATAAATTTAAATTTACAGGAAACCTGCAAGAATAATACCAAGAGAGTGTTGACCCCAGAGAAGGAAATGCCTGCCAAGAAAGACCCCTTTTAGTTAATATGATTCAAATTCATAATCATCATCATCTAGCAGCTATTGGCAGCAGAGGCTTCTCATGCACTCTACATTTCAGAGGAAAACCACAAACTAAGCTGCCAGCCTCCTGCAGTTCCTGTTGTCTGAGTCAACCCTTATAAAGGAGATCCTGGAATCATATTTCTACCAATGGGCTGAGACCTGCCCCTCTTATCTGAACTACACAGCTATATCCTTATTTGCATCTATTCTGACCAATTAGAGTGGCTTTTTGCTTTCAGCCTGAAGAACTACCTTTAATATTTCTTATAAGGCAGATCTAGCACAGATTCTCTCAGTTTTTGCTTCTCTGGGAAGGTATTTCACCTTATTTCACCAATCTTATTTTTCTTTAGTTATATACACATGTTTATAATTGCTACTTTGTTTTGCTTGATTTAGAATTCTTGGTTGAAAGTTTTTTTTTCTCTGAGTACTTCGAATTTGTTATCTTATTGCCTTCCGGCCTCTATATTGTTTTTGCTGAGAAGTCAGCTATTAATCTTATTGTTATTCACTTATAAGTGATAAATTGTTTTTCTCTTGCTCCTTTCAAGATTTCTTCCTTGTCTGACTTTCAGTATTTTTACTATAAAGTGTTTATTTTTAGATCTCTTTGCATTTAGCTTATTTGGAATTTGTCAACTATCTTAGATGTGTAAGTTATAGTTTTTCAATAAAGTTTTAGTGGTTATTTATTTGAAATTTTTTTCTGCTCCTTTTTAATCTCCTCTCCTTCTCGTACTCCCATTATGCTTAATAATGTAACACATTTCTCTGAGACTCTCTTAACATTTTTCTATTCTTTGGTTTGCATAATATCTATCTATCTATCTATCTATCTATCTTTAAGATAGTTTATTCTTTCTTCAGTTAGTTCAAATCTACTGTTGAACCCCAAAAGAAGTTATTTCAGTTATTATACTTTTCAACTTCAGAATTTCTATTTGGTTCATTTTTATAATCTCTGAGTCACGTCCCTGCTCTAGAGGTTGCATTTCTTTTTATTGTTATTCTGTATTTGACATGACATTCTTATCATATCTTCCTTTTCTTCTTTTATTATCCTTTTATTTAGTTAGTGAACATGTTTATAATGGCTACTTTGAATTCTTTTCTGATAAATCCAACATCTAGTTGCTCTCACAAGGCAGTTTCTGTTGCCTGCTATTTTTTTTCCACTGTATGGGTGATACTTTCCTGTTTACTTGCATGCCTCATAATTTTTTTGTTGAAAACCAAATGTTTTAGATAATATATTGTAGCAATTCTGAGTACTTGTTTACTCTCACCTCACATTCCTGCCCCTCCTCCCCTATTACTGTTATTTTATTATTTGCTTAGCAGCTGGCTGCTATTCTTATAGTAGTTTGGGTAGAGCTCTCTTCTTACTATTTCCTGACATCTAGCTGTTAAGTTTCAACAATTTGCTGGCTAATTACTCCATTATTTTCAACAATGCCCTGACATAAATTGCTCTAAAAATAAATCCAATCAAATATTGGGTCAGTATTTAATATTTGTTCTTATTCCAGGAAGGCTTCCCTCAGATATCTTTATCTCTGGTTTTCTCTTACTAAATAGCCAATTTACAATTTAGCCCATATCTTGAATCCACATTGCCTATCACCACAACCTCCAGGTTCTTGAGAACAACCTTTGGCTTAAATTTTTCCATATCTGTTGCAATTGAAGTCAGTTTCTTTGGGAAGAGTTTAAAAGCTATCTGCTTTATGAACTGCTTCTCCCTCAGGCACAATCACTGAGCCAGGGCTTTGGAGTAGGGCAAGTCACCTTCCCAGCTCTAGGGGATGAACTCTAGGTGGAAGAGGGAGTAGCAGCCTGAGGTCCTCTGGGTTTATCTCTTCTGGCTTGAACCACCACTTCAGGAGCTGGGGTAAGGGTTATTAGGATCCCAGTATTCATAGCACTCAAGCCCAATGTGGAACTTAAAATAGCAATGTAAGAACACCAAAACCTGTAAAGAATTTTTATAAAAATTTATTTGAGTGAAACAGAGAATGTACCTGGAAGCAAGATCTCAATAGACTGAGAAAAAATGCTTTGAAGAACAACAGATTGTAGTTTCTTTTACGCATTTGAGATTAAGGAGGGAAGTATGGAAGATTTCATAAAGGTGGGAGAAAGCAAGGTCGGGATTGGATTACTGGACACAGACAATGTGGTGAAGGCCTGGGGTGGGGTGGGAGCCAGGTGGAGAGGGACAATGGGGGAAAAATAAGAGGGGACATCTGTAATACTCTCAACAATAAAGAAAAAATGCCCCCCCCCCAAGATTATGTACTCTCTTGAGGGTGGTAACCCTTTAGAATGAGGAGGCTTGAAAGGGGGCATTTCAAAGGTGTGTTAACCTAAATGTACAGAAACAATGGACAAGTCTTGCTTAAGGCAAAGGTAACTAAAGAAGTTATATGTCTGGAGTATAACTACCCACCATGACCTGCTCAATTAGATTTTTATGATTTATTACAGCACCCCTCTTTTGTTCCTCTCTGTTCCATGAATGGGGCTGCATGAAAGAAAGGATTCTTCATCTCTCGACCACACTCACCCAGGACTTAGCCTCATTAGTAGATAGCTAGGGGCAGGATGAGAGTTGCTGACATCCTGTTCCTCCTATTGGGAGCCACGGAGAAAGGAAGACCTGTGTTCTTGCTTGCAGCAGTTCAGAGTTGGGAGGGTGAAGGGAAGAAGGGTCTTGGTTGAAAGACCACAGATGCTCCCTTTCTTATCTAATTTTTGTAGAGTTTCGTGAATAAATGTTTCTTCATTTGCTCTTTTCTCATAGGATTATTTCCAAAATTTTAAATGATTGTTTGTTGTTTGCTTGTTTTAAAATAATTTTCATCAGTTGCACTAGGAAGTGGGTCAGCCCAGCTCTTTACTGTCATGCTGGTAGTCAATCTATTGTCAACAAAAGTTAGCTGCCACCAATCTAATGCCAACAGGAGTTCCCAATATGGGGTAGGGGGAAAGAAGAGACTTTATTCAGGTGAACAGTTTGCAAACTGGGGAAACAAAGTCTTCAGAGGAATAGAAAGTGTATTACCCTGA